AAATTTGCAGTTTTCTAGATCTCTATATGCAAGTAAAAAGTTGCTTGTTGTATATAGTAACTCGACTTTGTTCTTTATGAGTCTTATTATCGGTTGATGTATTTCGTCTAAAACATTTTTTGACAAATTTGAGGTTTGTAAAATATAACAAAGCTTAGGAATAAGATATATATTGTTTAAGTAAATTAGCTGACTTAGTGTAAGTTTCTTATATCTTAATATCTTGATGGTCATCTGAACTATTTACTTAGGCTTATTTTTAATCAATATATTTTGAGCTTTTTCGCTTATCCAAATACCCAGAAATCTTGTAAGTGACTTGCTTTTTTCTGCTTCCACTTTTTTATTTGCTAAAATTTTATTCTGATTGTCTAAGCTTTTTGTCAAGTTAAAAATTATTAACTTTGACTTTTTTGGGTTTATACGAATATTGTTAATTGAGTAAAATTCTTCTGTGATTTTTAGTGTCTCTTCTAGCTGTAACTTGCTACTAGCTATCCAAGTTGTATTGTCTGCGTATGCTAAAGCTGCTTGGTGAAACTTTGTTTCTTTGTATGAATTCTTATGCAAATCTAGTGGCTTTTTGAGAAGTATTGTATAGCTCAGATTTTGTTGCTTTAAATTCTATGTATTAGTGGGTCATAAAATATACACCAAACAAGCGAAGACAGAACTTCTCCTTGCTTTATACCATCTAATACTATGATACATTTTGTAAAGCCTACTGCTGTTAAGATTTGTGTTCTCCGATCTTTAAATAAGTTTATAATAAAATTCGTCGATATGCTTGGAATTTTAATTCTTTCCATTGCAAGCTTGAGCATTTGAAAAGAGACTGAATCAAATACTTTTTGCATATTTTGAAACAGAAGCCAAAGTTCTTTACCCTGTTCTTTTGCATTCTCTATAATGCTATTTAAAATAAAAATAGGTTTCGATGTAGAGTTATCAGACAGGCCTGCATAATTTGGACCTTTAAGAATTGAATTTCTTGTTAATATTTCTAAGAACTGTGTTGCTAAGATCTTAGTTATACATTTACGAAATATTTCTAGTAATGCAATTGATCTAAGAGTGTTTAAGGTAAAGTCCCACTCTGTCGACTTTGAGATTGGGTAAATTTGGCTATGCTTCCATTTACTTGGTATTTTTCTAGTTTTAAGACAGATTGAGCTGAATTTTCTAAAAAGATCTTGTATATAACCATTTGCTTGTTTGATAAGCATGTATCCAATCCCTGTTATGCCTGGTGCAGTATTGTTTTTGAGCTCTTTAAGCATCTTGTACCATTCTTCTTCTGAGATATCTTCTTCTAAATTCGTATACCAGAAAGCGTTAATTTCTGCTTGTAGTTTGTAGATTTCCTTCCACTCAGAAGTTAGAGAAGTCATATTTAATTTGCTTTTGTTGTACTGGTCTTGAAAAAAAGTATTAGTTTTTAATAGGATATCTTTAGGGTTCGTGTGTAATTGGAATTTATTTTCAACCTCCTCTAAAATTCTATCTATTTTAGCCTTTGAGAAGGGCTTGCCCAGTATACTTTTGAGCATTTTACTCTGCTTATCTTGAATCATAAAACAGCGCCGATCTGTAAATTCCTTGATTTTTTATTTTTTTGTTTTTCTATTTCTGCTATCTATTTTTTGTTGAAGATTATAGCCAACCCTTGATATCCTGCACCCATTCTTCTAACATCATAGTTTCATCGAGAGCTATGTTAAAACCATGTCTGGTGCTAATTTTGTATAGAAGAGATTTTATTTCCTGAATTATTTTTTTAGTTAATATGGACTTCACTATTTGATCTTTGTTTCCTCTTGCTAGTTTTTAATTTCTTGACAGATTTTGCTTATATTAACTGTATCTTCATATAAAGGAAACCTTGATTGTTTCTTTTTTGATGAACAGCACCAGGATATAGGTGAGATTTTTCTGGGTCACGTGAAACAGGCTTTCTGATCAAGATCGGAATCACATGATCACGTAATCGATTTGAACATCTAATCCTAACCTTAATATCCCAATTAAATAAAAATTACTAGGGAAAGTTTTTTGTAAGAACTATCAACTACACTATAAATGCTATACATGATATAAAAAACTTATAATAATAAAACTTTATTTTTTATTTAATTTAATTAAAAACAATTTTGCTGCAATATATATCCAAGACCAAAAAAAAAAAAACTACAGAACCGAAAGAAAAGATGTGGTAGTTAAATGCAATTAACTACATACTCAAGACCGAAAGACAAAAGAACTCAACTACAAAACTAAAAAAAAAGATGTGGTAGTTAAATACAATTTAACTACATATCCAAGACCAAAAAATGAAAAAACTCAATTACAAGACTAGAAGAAAAGAAGTGGTATAGATGCAAATTAACTACATACCCTGAGACTAAAAAACGAAAGAACTTAACTACAAAGCTAGAAGAAAAGAAGTGGTAGTTAAATGCAATTTAACTATATACCGCGAGACCAAAAAATGAAAGAACTCAACTATAGGACCAGAAGAAAAAGTGGTAGTTAAATGCAATTTAACTACATATCCAAAACCAAAAAACGAAAGAACTCAACTACAAGACTGGAAGAAAAGAAGTGGTATAGATGCAAATTAACTACATACCCTGAGACTAAAAAATGAAAAAACTCAACTACAGAGCCAGAAGAAAAGAAGTGGTAGTTAAATACAATTTAACTACATATTGCAAGACCAAAAAAACGAAAGAACTCAACTACAGGGCCGGAAGAAAAGAAGTGGTAGTTAAATACAAATTAACTACATACCCAGAAATTGAAAAACGAAAAAACTCAACTACAGGACTGGAAGAAAAGAAGTGGTAGTTAAATACAATTTAACTACATACCCAAGACCAAAAGATGAAAGAACTGAACTACAGGACCAGAAGAAAAGAAGTGGTAATTAAATACAATTTAACTACACACCCAAGACCAAAAAATGAAAGAACTCAACTACAAGACTGGAAGAAAAGAAGTGATATAGATGCAAATTAACTACATACCCTGAGACTGAAAAATGAAAGAACTTAACTACAGAGCTGAAAGAAAAGAAGTGGTAGTTAAATACAATTTAACTACATACCGCAAGACCAAAAAAATGAAAGAACTCAACTACAGGGCCGGAAGAAAAAAAGTGGTAGTTAAATGCAAATTAACTACATACCCAGAGATCGAAAAATGAAAAAACTCAACTACAGGACCGGAAAAAAAGAAGTGGTAGTTAAATGCAATTTAACTACATACCTAAGACCAAAAGACGAAAGAACTGGACTACAGGACCGGAAGAAAAGAAGTGGTAGTTAAATACAATTTAACTATATTCCCAAGACCAAAAAACAAAAGAACTCAACTACAAGACCGGAAGAAAAGAAGTGATATAGATGCAAATTAACTACATACTCTAAAACTGAAAAATGAAAGAACTTAACTACAGAGCTGAAAGAAAAGAAGTGGTAGTTAAATACAATTTAACTACATATCGCGAGACCAAAAAAATGAAAGAACTCAACTACAGGGCCGAAAGAAAAGAAGTAGTAGTTAAATGCAAATTAACTACATACCCAGAGATCGAAAAATGAAAAAACTCAACTACAGGACTGGAAGAAAAGAAGTAGTAGTTAAATGCAATTTAACTACATACCCAAGACCAAAAGACAAAAGAACTAAACTACAGGACCGGAAGAAAAAGTAGTAGTTAAATGCAATTTAACTACATACTCAAAACCAAAAAACGAAAGAACTCAACTACAAGACCGGAAGAAAAGAAGTCAAATTAAGTACATACTTGAGACCGAAAAATGAAAGAACTCAACTACAAGGCCGGAAGAAAAGAAGTAGTAGTTAAATACAATTTAACTACATATCGTGAGACCAAAAAAATGAAAGAACTCAACTACAGGGCCGGAAGAAAAGAAGTAGTAGTTAAATGCAAATTAACTACATACTCAGAAATTGAAAAATAAAAAAACTCAACTACAGGACCAGAAGAAAAGAAGTGGTAGTTAAATGCAATTTAACTATATACCCAAGACCAAAAGACGAAAGAACTGAACTACAGGACCGGAAGAAAAGAAGTGGTAGTTAAATACAATTTAACTATACACCCAAGACCAAAAAACGAAAGAACTCAACTACAAGACCGGAAGAAAAGAAGTGGTATAGATGCAAATTAACTACATACCCTGAGACTGAAAAATGAAAGAACTCAACTACAGAGCCGGAAGAAAAGAAGTGGTAGTTAAATGCAATTTAACTATATACTGCGAGACCAAAAAACGAAAGAACTCAACTACAGGACCGGAAGAAAAAGTAGTAGTTAAATGCAATTTAACTATATACCCAAGACCAAAAAATGAAAGAACTCAACTACAGGGCCGGAAGAAAAGAAATGGTAGTTAAATACAATTTAACTACATACTGCGAAATCAAAAAAACGAAAGAACTCAACTACAGAGCCGGAAGAAAAGAAGTGGTAGTTAAATACAAATTAACTACATACCCAAAGATCGAAAAATGAAAAAACTCAACTACAGAACCGGAAGAAAAAGAAGTGATAGTTAAATACAATTTAACTACATACTCAAGACCAAAAAACAAAAGAACTCAACTACAAGACCAGAAGAAAAGAAGTCAAATTAACTACATACTTGAGACCAAAAAATGAAAGAACTCAACTACAGGGCCGGAAGAAAGAAGTGGTAGTTAAATACAATTTAACTACAAATGACAAGACCAAAAAATAAAAGAACTCGACTACAGGACTGGAAAAAAAGAAGTGGTAGTTAAATGCAATTTAATTACATACCCAAGACCGAAAGACAAAAGAACTTAATTAACTACAGGATCAGAAATAGCATATCCGAGAGTGAAAAATCAAAAGCTACAAAAGTAAAAAGAGATCGAGACTACAAACAAAAATATATAAGTAGAAAAAAAAATTACGATACACAAAAAAAGGATATATATATATATGATCATTACTAAAACAAGACTACAAACAAATAAATATAATGACAATCAAAATTTGAAATGCCGATACACAAATAAAAAATCCGGGATAGGGTCGGAGAGTCGGAGGGCACGTGACCCGGAAAATCTCACCTACATTCTGGATCTGTCTTTTTGATGAACGTTTATTATTTGATGAAGGCCTATTTTTTTAAAAAAGATATTTTGTTTAGCTGCATATAAAATCCCTGTTTTAATCGAAGACCAGATGTAATCTAAATCTTGTTGTGATATTTCGTTTGTATTTTTCTCTAGTATATTTAACAAGGCTATACGTTTTTTAAGAAAGAATTGTATTGAAGTCTTGTAGTCTTCCCAATTTTCAGGTGAAGCCTTATCGTAAAGAAACTTTATGTAAGAACTTTTTTCTTTGTTGACACTCTGGGCCTGATTTAACATCATGTTATTGTATTTTAAGTTTACTAGAATTGTATTGTGATCGCTTTTTGTAATTAGATCTATATCTCAAATTTCTGCCTTATATAATGATTTTGCTAAGCCTCCTGAGATCCAGATCTGATCGATATGTGTGGCTATACTACCATTAGACCATGTATAGGCTTGTGTTACAGGATTTAAGTGTTAGAAAAAGTCTATAAAATTCTAATTAAGCATCCAAATGTGCAACAGAAGTTTACACATATACTACAATAACTCTGTTTATCAAGTTCTGGTGTTGTTATATGATTAAAATTTTTCATGATTATTATTTCTGAGTTTCTAGATCTGTTAATATATGCATTTATAACTTGTTGTTAGATTCTCTTAATTTGCTTTTTATCGTTGGGAGGAAGATACACAACAAGAATATTAATTTTTAGGTGGTTTATAATTAAAAATAATTTCAGTAAGTATTCGTTATATTTTCTAAGACCTGCTAAACTTTTTTGAATTTTTTCACTAATTAGAACTCCCATTTCAGAGCCTTTTTTCTTATCAACATTTGCACTTGACCAATAGCCTTTGAATGAGCTCTCTGGGGGGAGTATATATTGGCCTTCCTTTTCTGCTATGTTTGTTTCTGTGATTTTTAAAATATCTATACTTTTTTCTTTAGCCTAGTCTATTAAATGTAAAAGTTTTTGATTGTTCGATTTAAGACCATTAATGTTGTGACATGCTAAATTTAGATTAAAATCTAGAGCATTATAGTTTATCTTAAGTGGAGTTTGCTCTGCTGAGCCAATTTGCTTGTTTGTTTCTGTTAATGCAACTGTGGCACTCTTAGGAGCGGTTGGGAACTGAAGCCCCTTGTTTTTCTTCTATTTTCAGTAATTTGTTTAAGATTTGCTCTAAAATACTATCGTGTATATCGGATGCAGATGTAGAAATTTGTCTTGGATTACTAGAGCTTCTATTTCTTGGCTTAATCTTTTCGTGTATATTTTCATCTTGAGTTAATCTAAATTCTTGAGATATTTGTTTTTCACTTTGCTTTTTTTTCTCGCCTAATTTAACTTTATTTGATTCAGTTGCATATTCGTTTTCAATATTTTTAGAGATTTGTAAGTATTGCTATAAGATCTGAGATTACTATTATCTCCACTGTTTTCCTTATTTTCAGAAGAAGAAGTATAAATAGAGTTTCTAGTTTTACTGCTTGATTTAAGAGATGTACACTTGGCTTGATTCTTTTTCCTTGATGTTTCATTTTCATTCAATGATCTTTTGCCTTTGTTCGTATTTTTTACTTCTCTCTTGTAATAAAATATATTAAGGGTATACTTTCTAGTTAGGTCTTCTGAAGTTTGGTACTATTCAAGCTTAGTGTTAAAGTAATAAATATTGCAACTTTGGGCTAATACAAGATCTTTTTCCGATTTAAAATACAGGTGAGCTCTTTTTTTTAGATTACCATTTCGATTTTTTAATATGTGTATTGCTTGAACTTTGAATTTTTTAAGTTGGTGTAAAAGGAGACTGTCGTATACAGTTGTTGGTATATTTAAAATTATACATTTATGGTTATTTCTTTCTTCTAATTCAGTAATGTTGAATTTTCCAGGCGTTGTATGATATGTTTTTTCTTGATCTAAATATAATGATCAACTTTCTTCTAGTAACTTTGTTCTTTGTTCAAAGCTTGGCAAGATTTTAATATAAGCTGCCTTAGTTCTAAAATTTTGTTGCCATGCGAGAACGGAAGCTGTGCCAAAGAACCTAAGATATGTTTTGATAGTTGATATACTAGTTTCCTTGGATAGATCCCAAATTGTAAAAAAATAAACCAGGTTTTGTGGTTGTTTGTGATAATATATCTTGCTTTTTGGAGCCCAAACCAAGTTAAATATATCCTCGTGTTGTTTGAATTTTTTAGTACTTGCTTGTGTTATTGCTTTTATATTTGTTTGAAATTTTTCACTGATAAGTTCATTTAAACTATAGTTAAGTGCTTCATATTCTTCTTGAACTAAAATATCTTTAACTAGTTTCTCTGTAATATGTGGGTTTATTTTCTGTACTGTGAAGTTGCGTTTGCGTGGGTTTTCTTTAGGTTCTAATTCTATATTATTTAAATATGTAGATGTTGCAACAACTTGAACTGTTGGAGTTACTTCTATAGAACATGATTCAATTTTGATTTTAATTTTGTTCTCGTCACTTTGATCTATATTCCGCTTTTTAGAATAACCTGCCAGTTTTTTCTCTTCTGTAATCACATTGTTGTATTTTTCTTTAAAAATTTTATTAGAATACGAAGGTGAAGTTTTTATAAAAATTAGCTCGGATTTAATTTTAATGCT